AGAACAAATTAAGGGGAAGGTTTGGCTGAGCAACAGACAATTTAAGCAGGTATTTCATAATCTTAGAATCCCTATAGTGTGGAACCAGGCCATTTGGTCCAGGTCCACCCCCTTACCCTATCCCAGTAACCTGCATTTCCCATGGCTAATCCACCTTGCCTGCTCATCCCTGCGCAGTATGGGCAATTTAGCGTAGCCAACCCACCTAACCTGCACATCTTTGGACTATGGGAGGAAACCGGAGCACCCAGAGGAAATCCACGCAGACAGGGAGAATGTGCAAACGCCACACAGTCGCCCAAGGGTGGAATCAAACCTGGGTCCCTGGCACTAATGCAGCAGTACTAACCACTGTGCCACTGCACCACCTAGCAAAATGCTGAGCAAAAATTATTCCACCTAAAATGGTTAGCATTTCTACCCATCTCAAATTCTCCTTTAGAAGGTGATAGTGACTCGATGTTCCAAGATCTGTATTACCAGTCACTAGATCTATGGTCTAGTTTCTGTATAAAATGTGACGTTCTTCTCTTTGCCTAGTGACCTGCTGCAAGACCTGGAGAGTTGTGATAGTGATCCTGTTGCAATTGCAGAATGTTTTGTAGCAAAGGTAAGTAGCCTCTTTTCTGTGCAAGATTCCAATTGCAATGCAGATTGGAGCAGCTTTCAGTTTAAAGTATTTTTTAAACTTGTTCATTAACTGTGTGTGCCTGTCACTGTCCTGGCTACCAGTTAATGTTCATCCTGGCCTTAATTATGCTCTAAGGTAGTGGTGAACCACCTTGAATTGGCATAATCCCGTAGGACTTCTGTACACTCTGCTGTTGGGAAGGCGGTTCCAGGATTCTGATCCAGAGGCAGTGAAGAAACTGAGAGATCCAAATCAGGATGGTGTGTGGCTTGGAAGAGAATGTGCAAATGATCATGGTCCCATTCATCTGCTGTCCTCTGACTAGACAGAGGTCGTGGGTGGAGAAGGAGCTGTCAAAGGAGTCAGTTGCTCAGAAACATCCAAAATGAAAGATTGTGCTGGAGATTTCCTTTATTTCCTGTGTATATGTTAGGTGCATTCTGATGCACGGGAGTATGAAATTGTTTTAATTATCCCCAGGTCTCATTCCTGAGTTTAATGTCAAACCATGTCTGCATTGCTATGTTAATGTTTGTCAGAGAAGCCTGGGTTTCCTTCAGTTGAAATAATAGATTCTGCTGTCAATGGGATATAGTCTAATCTCGTGCATCAAATGCTGCTAAAAGCTGTATTAGTTGGCTAGAATATTGGGATGACTTTGTTTTAGTCCAATAAACAACTGGTTTGGGGTCAGATAAGAGAGATTTCTTGAAGCCTGCCTCTTTGCCAGTCCACTTTCAGGGTTAACAGGACAGGACACAGGCAGTGATTGCCCTCCTAGAAACCAGGCTGGCTAGGAGCCTGAGGTTTAAATGTGCTTTGTTTACGCCTGACTACCTAGGTTTCTTAAATGTCAATAAAGTCAGCAGCCCAGGGAGGCAAGGAAAACTTGAGGAAAAGTTAAGCACTTTTTTATTTAGAAATAAATACATAACACCTTTCTTGGTTCACAAGCGGTGCTATTAAAAAAGACGGTTTCCTCAAATCTCGCTCTCACCTCCTAACCCACTCATCAAACCTGTCAATGTTGGGCCATTGTAGGCTCTACATTCTCTGAAGGATGTCAGACAAAGTTGAGGAAGTTAACTAGAATGAGACAAGGCTTGCTTTTCATACTTCAAATTTAACAAGCTAAATTATGTCAACGTGTTAAATCTGGGACCCTGGTGTCCTTGTATCTGAATGTTATCCATTTTATAAAGTATGATTCTGTGAGTATGACTGTTGGGTTAGCTGGTCTGTAACACCTCCTCCCAATTTTGGTGCAAGCCCTAGATGTTGGTAAGAAAGACTTCACTGGATTGACAGGTCTGTTTTGCTGCCAAATTGAATTAAATGAATTCAAGTTTTGCCATCATGGGATTTGAGACTGTGTCCTAAAGCATTATCTTGAGGTTCTGGATTACTAATCCAGTGATATTACTATGACACAGTTACCAGTCCATTTTATGAAGTACTGTTCCTTGAATGGCACAGCTTTAATTTTGTTGTGCCTGCTTTTTCAGGAACCTTAACCAAACGAAATAGGTTTGTCTGTGTGTCAGTCAATCTCTCTCTCCCACTCTCCAAACATGCATGCTTGGTGGGAGTACGTGTCTAATCACTGCACCCTGTCCTCCTTTTGTTTTAATAGATTCAGGATTACTGAGCCTAGGTATTTGATGGTTATCTTGATGCACCACAGTTTTCACTGCACTGCTGTCTTTAAAACAGCCATAGGTCTGCTAAAATTGATTTGATTAACATTGGCCTGTTTATTTGATTTTTTTCTTCTTTGCACAGAGTGAAGAATTTCACATCTATACGCAGTATTGTACAAACTATCCCAGGTAAGCTGGCAAAAGATATGCAGTACCATTTTGTCAAACATTGAGGCTTGGCCTGCTACACTATGTAGATCTTGTCCTACTCATTTATCTTGAAGTGGCACATTGGCCAATTTTCACCCAAGCTGGCTGTCAGGGAGCTAATTAGAGCACGTGGAGCACTGGCTTTGCACTCATCACAGCTTTTAAATCAATGAAGAGTAATAATGGAGGGGTTGTAAAACCAGCTTTCTTCCCTCCAACCTGCTGGGTTTGTTCAACTGGTACATGTTAAAATTCACCCAAAGTGTCAAGCAAACCTTTAGCTGTGGAGATCCATGTTTGGAGCTAACTGAAATTCCAATATCTCTGTTTCGATGAAATAGTGAAGTTGGATCATTTTGTTCATCCTAGTGGTACCTCTCCCCTTCCTTTTAAACGCCTCAATAGAACTACTGTACTGGATTTAAATCCAGTAGTTAGCTGCCTGGAGAGTTTGGAATTGCTCAGCACACAAGCTAAACTATAGGTAATCAATCTTCAGAGAACCTGAAACTATTATTCAACAGGAAGGCACTTGTTGAAATGTTTCATATTACACTAATATATTTAAATATCAGCTCGAGAGTTAAAGATGAGATGGACTTCATTTTGACCTTTTTCGTTTCAGCCAGATATTCTGTACTGGAGCTCACAGCAACTATTCAGGAATCCAGTAACCTACATGAATTGTGTACAGTCTTGAGCTCCTTACTTAAGGAAGGATACACTTACCATAGAGGGGGTATAAATAAGGTTCACCAGATTGACCCCTGGGATGGTGGTGGTGTTCTTTGAGGAGATTTGGCCTATATACCCAAGAATAAAAGGTGATCTCATTGACGATAGAAAATTCTTGCAGGACTTGCCGACAGGGTAGATGCAGGAAGGATATACGTCCTAGATAGGAGGTTTGGAACTGGGGGACACACTCTGCAACAGAAAAGCAGTTTTAACGCTGACGAGTGGAGGAAATTCTTCCCTTAGACTGGTGAACCTTTGGAATTCTCTACCACGGAGCTGTGGAGGCTCAGTTGTTGAGTATATTCAAGAAAGCAATCAAAACCTTTGTAGTCCGCCAAGATTTCAAGGAGTATTGTGAAGAAAAAGGCATTAAGAAAGGTGATGAGCTCTGATCTAGTTGAATAGTGGTGCTAAATGGCCATCTACTGCTCTAAGTTCCAATGTGATCTATGGAGCATGTTGCAACTTTTGAGATCAAGTCATGTTACAATGGATCTGCAACTGCTTTAGTGGATCACAAGGGATCTTCCAAGTTCATTGCAGCTGTTGAGATGATTCAGTAACCCTGAATGATTACAGCCAAGGAAAAACTAGGCTAAAATACAAAGGCCTCTGAGCACCAGCCAGGAGGAAGCAAACATCTTAGAATCAGCCAAGCAGGAGATACTACTTGTAAAGTCTTGATAAAAGACTGAAGTAACAATAAAGAAAAATTCCAATTATTGTTTTGTACAGTCAGTTATTGAAAAGGGTCACTAACCTTTCTGGATCACTTGCAGATCTGTGGCTGTGTTAACAGAGTGTATGAGAAACAAAGTGCTTGCCAAATTCTTCAGAGAGCAACAGGAATCCTTGAAACACTCCCTACCTCTGGGATCCTACCTTCTTAAACCAGTGCAACGCATCCTAAAGTACCATCTCCTCTTGCATGTAAGTGGTTATGAATGATTTTCAGTCTATATTTCAGATTTGAAGACTGCTGACAATTGATGCCATTTCCTGCATCCAGAAAATATGTTGCTATTAATGTCAGTAAATTGCCAAAATCACTCCTTGTGAAACTCTTTACCTAGTTAAGATATAATGTTGAATGGAGCTAGCACCATCTTTTTTATTAAAGCTCTGAACTTACTTATAGCTGTTGTGAAGATACAGGAATATCAGAGAGATGTGGAATTTACCTAGCTTGCTGCAGCTTAGTTTTGGTTGTACAAGATAATCTCTTTTGACTCTCCTCTGCTGTACAACAGCCATTGTAGTAATCTGTGTAAGAATCAGTTGTTATAAAAGCACACCAATGCCTCTACTTCCTCAGAAGGCTAAGGAAACTTGGCATGTACGCAATGACTGACTCTTACCAATTTTTATGGACGCACCATGGAAAGCATCCTATCCAGATGCATCACAGCTTGGTTTCACAACTGCTCCATCCAAGATAACAAGAAATTAGTTGTGAATGCAGTCCTGTCAATCAGGAAAACCAGACTTCCTTCCATTGAATCGGTCTACACTTCCCACCATCTCGGGAAAGCAGCCAACATAATCAGACTTCTTCCACCCTCTGCCTGTAGGCGGAAGATACAGAAGTTTGAAAATGTCCCAACAGATTTATTAACAGCTTCTTCCTAACTGTTAACAGACTTGAGTTGATCTTTCTCTGCACCTTCTTAGTAGCTATAACACTATATTCTGCATTCTGTTCTATTACCCTGATTTACTCATGTAAGGTATGATTTGTCTGGTTAGCACACAAAACAGTATTTGCACTGTATCTTGGTATGTGACAGTAATACATCAAACTTTTACATGCACAGTACATCACTGACCTTGGATATGCATTTAATGGCATTTTAAAATTTGCATTCTTACAATCAACATTAGTTAATGGGAATCATCAAAACTGTCTGCTGATTGACCCTGAATGAACACACCTCCTTGCCTGTGGCGGGTAAAGGCCACCTAACCAGTCTGAGTATGGGACTTTCTGAAGGGCTCATACTAAGTTTGAATGGTTGGTGGAATCATTCTATCATCCATGCCCTTTGAAATAGAACAGTTGAGCTCTTTACTGTGTGATAGAAATTTGACAAACGTAGCTGGTAATTTTTTTTTTACATTTTATCAGATTTGATTAATTTGCAGTCAGTTAGTAATTTGATTTGGGGTGGATATTGCTCATGGTTCAGCACATTTTTCCTGATGAAACTCCACTCTAGTGTATGGCTAGTCTTCCATTTGCCCGTAACCTCCTGATCACTCTGCCTAATGAAAGTGACTGAGACAAACAGCATAAGATTTAAGTAGCTCCCAGGAATTGATGAAATGAGTGAAAGGAAGCCAGAGGGCCAATCTCAACAGCACCTCTCTGCCAAAGTGCATGCCCTGTGGTAAATTGCTGAAAAATGGAAGATTACTGAATTTCTACCCATTCCTGATACTTTTTTTGTTTCATCGTTCTTTGCCCACCTCTTATTGCTTTTTGCAGGAAATAGCTAATCATCTGGAGAAGGACACAGAGTGCTATGATGTAGTGCAGGATGCCATTGACACAATGCAAAGAGTGGCTTGGCACATTAATGACATGAAGAGGAAACATGAGCATGCAGTTAGGCTTCAGGTAATTTTTTAAAACATTTCTTGCAATATGGATGTGACCTTTTTAATATTAGCTGTGTTTTGACTCCAGCACACCTCAGCAAAACAATGGCTTTGTTGGGGGTGGAGGTGTACAGCACAGAACCTTTTAAAATGTTCTGGAATCCACTGCTCAAGATTGTGGTATGTACAGGGTCAGCTGAGGCTTTCTAAAGGGAATTAGATGGTTATCTGAAAAGGGAAAATTTTGCAGGGTTACAGTAGGGGTAAAAAGCAAGGGAGTGGCACAAAATGAATTGCTCCTTTAGAAGGACAGCACAGATAATGTGTTGAATGGTCCCCTGTGCTGTAAGCATTAATTATATATATTGAGGACAGATTATGTACACTATAGATGTATTCCTTTTGAGGTTAGAAAGTTAAGATATGATCAAACTTGAGTTTTCAGTTTGATTTGAAGAGCTCTATTCCCCATAGAAATTTTGGAACAACTTGTCAGAATCTTTAGATTAGAGAGAGGTCCTTCAGGAGTAATGTCAGAAAGTACTTCATAACAAGAGGTGAAAATTTAGAACATGCCCTCACATCTATCAAAGCTTTTAAATCAAATGAATAGATTTTTGTAGGGTGAGGATATTGAGGAATATGGGACTAGAGTAAATGGGGTTTACATTAAGATCTAAATGATTTGCAAAGCTGATCTGAACTGCATGATTTACCCCTGTTCCTATGTTTTGATAATATTTAGTTTCTTACTCTTGAACTACTTCTGTGTGATCATTTATCTGTGTTCTTGTTAAGGAAATACAGAGCCTTCTGACAAACTGGAAAGGTCCAGATCTGACCAGCTATGGAGAGCTGGTCTTAGAGGGGACATTCCGTATACAGCGAGCCAAAAATGAACGCACTTTATTTCTTTTAGATAAACTTCTTCTCATCACTAAAAAAAGAGAAGAGACTTACACCTATAAAGCTCATATTTTGGTAAGAATTATTAGTTTGTGTTGACTTGAAAATATTGGGGTTTGCTTTTGTAAGTACCATGTTCTGTGCTACCATGTTCTTCTGGAAAACTGGCTGATTAGCACTGTCAAACTAAATCAGTAAAGGCCAGTCACTTTCGTTTCTCTAGCTGGCCCTTATCTTTCAACCTCCCTTAACTTCAGCAAATCCAAAATTCTGACCAGTTCCTGCTCTAATATCACATCAATGCTTGCTGACCTATGTTGACTACCAGTCTACCATTGCCTTTAATTAAGATTCTCATTGTCTCGTTCAAATTGGCCTTATCAGTTGTGGCCTCTTAGACAAACCTGATTTCTTTCACCCCACTATTAATGGATGTGCCTTCATGCTGCCGTGGCCCTAAACTCTGGAATTCCCTCACTACTTTCTAAGTAGTTCCTTTTAAAACCTACCAATTCGATGATCTTGCTTCCTTGTCCTTCTAACATCTTGTGGTTCAGTGTCTCCTTTAGTCTGATTGTAATCCTATGGCACACCTTGTAAAATTAGCCTGCATTTAAAGATTTGCGTAGGCAAATTGTTATAGTTTTATCCCTGCCGTTCTGGATTCGTTGCCATTTTGGGTGAATGCAGTTTTTTTTTTTTTGCATCCTGACTTCTGAGCTTGTAATTCAAGCTGATACACCAGTGCAGTACTGAGGGAATGCTGGATTGTCAGTTGTCTCCTTTTGCATGCGACATTGAACAAAGGCCCAATCTTTTCCCCTCGGCTAGGTAGACATGAACTTCCACGACATTTGCCAGTAGTAGGACAATTCCCTTGGCATCTCGGTCAACAGCACTGAATCAGATTTGCCTAGTGTGAAATTTAATTGCAGAATTTAACTTGCAATGTGAGAGCCACAGTTCACCACTCATTATTTACTTTGAAGAAGTTTTTGTTTTAAAGGCATGCAAGGTGCTATATTATTGCAATTTAGTTACTAAGAGAATAGTGTGGAAAAGTGAGAGATTTGCAGCCCTGAATTATAGACCTAACGTTTCTGTCCTTCCCCCAGTGTTGTAACCTGATGCTTGTGGAGGTAATTCCAAAGGAATCCTTGAGTTTCAGTGTCTTCCACTACAAGAATCCTAAAGTGCAGCACACAGTACAGGTAGAGTATCCAGTGTTATAAAATTTTGGTGTTTCTACAACTACTGAATGGCCAGGGTTCCCAAATAAAAACAGGCTGAAATTGCAAACTCTTGCTATGCTTTATGAAAACTAAATGATTCAAAATAGGAAATGTTATGTTCAGGAAGCTGGTTCTTAGGAACAGGAGTGGGTAATTCAGTCCCTTGAGCCTGTTTAGCCAATCAGTGAGATCATAGCTGCTCTGTGCCCTATCTCCATATACTTGCCTTGGGCCCTTATCTTTTTAAAACCTTTTTCTTAATAATTTATCTACCTTCAAATTAAAATTAGCAACCAATCCAATGTCCAACTCCATTTGTGGAAGAGTTCCAAATGTCTACCACCTTTTGTGTAAAAGTACTTCCTAGCAGCTATCAATGAACTGGCCCTAATTCTCAGACTGTTCCCCCTAGTTCTAGAACACCCAACCAGTGGAAATAGTTTATCTTTATCTATCCTGTCTTTTTTTCGTGTTAATATCTTTAAATTCAGTAGTGCCTGTTTTATATGTTGTTGCTGAAAGTTAAAATTTACCTGCCTAGTCATGTCAGCTTATTGGTATACCTTGGGACAATGAGCAGGAGGAGCTAGGTCCAGAGCATTCCTGCTCATGATTCTCCAGCATGTGCTCCAGTCTACCGGGGTTAAAATCTGACTCTTGCTGTCAACTTTTATAATGTGCACCCTTTTTTTTAAAACAGTAAAGTGCACAGATTTAATGAACAGGGTGAGTTATACAACAAATGGCTCCGAGTAAAGATGGAAGAAGAAACTGAGGAAGTTTCAAAAGAGACAGACAGGCTAATTCCCAGTAGCAAAAACAATCCGTGTTTACGTAGATCCAAAACGTACCCAAAATCCATTGCCTGCCTTTGATCCATATCCCTTGATATCCTTCTCCAGAAAAAAGTATATCATTATCCATCTTAGATTGCAATTGGCATTTTGGGAAAAGTTCTCAGATTTCAACTCCTGTTTGTCCAAATGTTTGGAATTTTGTGATGTTAGATGGATGGGTCAAAGGAGATGTCTGTAAGTGGTTACTGTGCAACATCTAGTTATCCCTGGCTCTTGGTTTTTGTCTTACTCTCTAACAGGCCAAGTCAACACAGGACAAGAGGCTTTGGATTCTTCATCTGAAGAGGCTTATTCTTGAAAATCATCCAGCAAAGATTCCAGCTAAGGTGTGAAACAGGGTCACTAAGTTGGATTTTCAGATACTTGAGGGCATTATTACATTTTACTCCTTGATGCTCTGTATTGACTCTAAGCTTGTAGGTGTGACCTTCCCACTAGGAACACAATTAACAAAAATGCACCTAGAATATGCCAGATAAAATCTGTGTATTTGTGGTGAAGTTACACTCCAGTTTCCATGCAAACTCACTAGCATGTGCTTGAGTATAAGAATAAGGATCAGTGTTGGACTCTCTACAAAAGACCTGTGATCAACAGTCAGTTGAAGTCAGTGTGTCCTCTGCTAGAATTGACAGGACATAAAACTAACTTAGACTGAATCTAAAGAAATGGCAACAGGAAAAACAGCTCTCGGCTTGGTATCAATTGACTGCTGGTCACTGGGGATGCAGATCATTCAGGCTGAATTAATGGCTCCCTGGGTTCCTGAGAATCTGGGTTTGATGCAGTGAAACTCCTGAATGAGCTTAATTGATGGAAATTCTCCATTCTGGCCACAAGATAATGGGTAGAGATTGATTCAGGAAATGAGCCAGTGTAAAAGATTGTAGAAACTCTAGTTTAATCTAGTTATTATCATAACTCATTATTTAAAATTCAGAGAATTATGGGCAGAATAAAGCCATTCAGCCCATAATTCCACAATCCTTGGAGCAACTATTTTGGATTGCTGGGTTTATGTCATGCAGCAACATGACACTGGCAAGCAGAGTCAAACTCCCTCAAATCTAGTACCCACTGAGCACTTGAAATGGGCGAAGACTCTAGATTTAGACCACATGTACAGTACTCATAACAGCTTAAGTGTAAAGCAAAACCCCATCACCCCAATGCTATAAGGTACAGTGTAAACACAATCTGAATGGCATGTGGAAATGAAACTTGTTGCTCCAATTTTGTGGGGAGAAAAATGGACGTGAACTGCACAGTTAAAAGCATGTTATTTGTGTTGTTCCATGTACAACTGCATTTGTCACATCCATCTAGTTTATAACCTCTGATTGTGGTTTAGTTAGTAATGATCTTTTGGCAACAGATTTATTTTTAAAAAAAAACTTAATGTCTTGATAGTGGTAAACATAATTATTGTTAATCCTCCTTACATTTTGTTTTAAAGTTTACCTTTAAAAAACAGTCTACAGTAAAGCTTTGTTGCCATTCAAGTCTGGTCTTGTTTGAGTTCAATTTCCCACTTGAAACACTTGCACGCCTTATTTGTTTGTGAAGGGAGGGATCATTCTAAATATAATTACATCACTGCTGCCAGCTGTCCTTTCTTGAAGTCAACATGTTACAACTGAGTTTGAAAAGATGTTGAAGAATAATTATTTTTACCTACAGGCAAAACAAGCAATTCTGGAGATGGATGCCATACGTAAGTAAAACTTAAATGATTCTGCATGAGCTTGCTGACAACTTGTTAGATTCAATATTTTACGTGGCGTATCATAACTGTATAACGATGTCTAGGATGTATCTACTGATCATTTATGGGTTTTGTGTGCCCATTTGCCCTGTGCGAGAACCTAGCCTGGACTGCCAGCTTGTTACAAGCCCCTGGTCCATCACAAATCCTGGACCAAGTTAGGAGAGACTCTTGGGTGACTTGTTTCTCATGACTCTTCCAGGCAGTGATAATGTGCTGACCTACCGAAGTAACTAGACATTGTTGTTATCGAATATGTAGAGACCCCTCTTTCTATAAGTTCAATATCCTCTCTCGGCCCACTTTTCTGCATACACTGAATAATCTGTCCCCATTTAGTGTATTTTCCCTTTTCTAAGGGACCCAAAGATTTTTCCACTGTGTTATTTAAATGTCTTTGCCTTGGTGGTGAAGAAGGATAAGCACAAATTTTAAGAAGGTCCTTCAGAATTTATAATTAGGAAAATAAAGATTCATCCAGAGAAAGGGATATTAAAAGGGTGACTTGAAATGCAATCGGATTTTTTAGCAAGGCTTCAAAAGAGGTGAGGAAAAGGACGAAGAAGAATTTTGGTTGTTTACTCTGTGCTGCCAATTGCCCCATAATGATAAAGTACGGAAAGAGGTCATGGTCATACAGCACAGAAGCAGACCCTTCAGTCCAACTCGTCCATGTTGATGAGGTTTCCCAAACTGAACTAGTCCCATTTGCCTGCATTTGGCCCATATCCCTCTAAACCTTTCCTATTTATGTCCCTGTTCAAACGTCTTCTAAGTGTCATAATCGTACCCACCTCTACCACTTCCTCTGGCAGTTTGTTCCAAATACGCACTGCCCTCTGTGGAAAACATTGCCCCTTCAGTCTCTCAAATCTTTCCTCTCATTTTAAACCTATGCCCTCTAGTATTGGATTCCCCTACCCTGGGGTAAAGACCTTGGCTTTTCACCTTATACCCCTCCATTTTATAAACCTCTACAAGGTCACCCTTCAGCCTTATACGCTTCCAGCCTCTCCTTGTAACTCAAACCTTTGGTCTTTGTGTTTGACAACACTCCCCAGGGCCCTACCATTAACTGTGTAAGTCCTGCCCTGGTTTGTCTTACCAAAATGCAATACCTTGTATTTATCTAAATTAAATCCCATCTGTTCACGAACGGATTTGAGTTTGAGAATTAGAACTTGAAACTAGACATCTGGGTCAATATAGGTCACCAGAAGTGGTGAGTGTGGCAGTTAGTGTAGAATAGGAACAGGGGCACCTAAGGATGTAAAACATACATTTTTATACTTTTAAAGCTAAGTTGATAAAGCCATTAAGTTAGGAATGTTTTGGGTTTTACAAACAGTAGTGAAAATTTCAGTGTTGGTTTTGACTGCAGTTAAGAGTAAAGGGTGTCTCATTGTGGAAAAGACAGCCGAACCATAAAGAACCAATTCACCAAATAATACCTTGTTTGAGGGAAGGCCTGAGATAATGAACTATTTCCTCTCGAGTAGAGGAGGTTGAGAAAGATTTGATGGAGAAAATTAATTAGTTTTGAAAGAATAAATGGGAGGCAGTTTATTTCCTCTGGATTCTGTAACAGAGGCATTAATTTTAAAATCCTCAATGAGGCAAGTGGTTTGAAGAGACTTCTTTACAATTTTGAGACTCCAAATGCTTCGTTACTGAGTGCAAGGTGGAAACCTCTGCACTTTTGGAAGATACCATGCATAATACTTTACAGCAGCTAGCAGGATTAGATGTGGCCTCACTCGGCCATTTCTGCATCCAAGTGTCCAGCCTGTCAATATCCTGCTGTATCCTCTGGCAATCCTCCTCGCAATTCATAGCTCCCCCAATCTTTGTGTCATCTGCAAGCTTACTAATCAGTCCACCAACATACTCCTCCATGCCACTAAATATATTATTACAAACAACCGGGGTCCTAGCACTTATCCCTATGCAACACCACTGCTCATAATGCTGTCAAAGGAGCCTTGGTGATTTTGCTGCAGTGATTCTTGTAACTGTAACCTGTGTGCTGCCACTGTGTCAATAGTAGAGGGCTGAAGGTTGGTTAGTGGTGGATGGGATCCAAAGATGCTTTGTCCTGGATGGTGCAAATCTGCTTGTGTTTTTGGAGTTGCACTCATTCAGGCAAATGGAAAATATCCCATTGTATGCCTGACTTGTGCCCTTGTAGATGTGTGACATGCTTTGGGGAGTTGGGGAGGTAAGTTATTCAGTGTAGAATTTCAGCCTCTGGTCTGCTGTTGTAGCACAATATTTGTATGGCTGGTCCAGTTCAATTTTTCTGTTCAACAGGAACACTTGGTGAATCCCTCGCTATCAATACTATGGGAATGACATGGAATATTAAGCGGAAATGGTTAGATTCTCTCTTGAAGATAGCCTTGCTCAGCACTTACGTGATGCATGCTACTTGCCACTTATAAGCCCAATGCTGAATTTGTCCAGATCATGCTGCATTTGGATACTGACTGCTTCAGTATCTGAGGAGCTGGAAATGGTACTGACCATGCACAGTCATCAAGAAATATTCCCACTTTTGACTGAATGGTGGTGAGAATGAAGCAGCTGTAAGTGGTTGAGCCTCACATTCCCTTGAGAAACTAAGGGCTTTTGTGGTGCAGTGATAATCTCCTCACCTCGGAGATCAAGTCCACCTTGCTCCAGGGGTTTTGTATCAACATTTCTGAACAGTTGAGAAAATACCTCCCCTGAGACACTCCTACAGTAATGCCCTCCAGAAACTGACATGTTTCTTGTGCTAGGTATGACTGCAACTAGCGCAGATTCTTCCCTGGTTCCCAATTGACTCTGGTTTTGCTTGGGATCCTTGATGCCACACTCAGTTGAATGCTGCCTTGATATCAAGGGCAGTGACTCTACCCTTGCCTCTGGAATTCACTCGTCTGTTTAGAGTAGGCTGTAATGGGGTTGGGAATTGAGCAGTGCTGGCAGAAACTAAACCAAGCTTAAGTGTATAGGTTATAACTCACTCAGAGATAGCAAGAACTGCAGATGCTGGAGTCAGAGGTAACACTGTATGGAGCTGGAGGAACACAGCAGGCCAGGCAGCATAAGAGGAACAGGAAAGATGACATTTTGGGTCAGGACCCTTCTTCAGAAATGGGGAGAGGGAAGGGAGCTCAGAAATAAATAGAGGGGTGGGACTGGGGAAGGTAGATGTGATGGTGATAGGTGAGTGCAGGTAGGGAGTGGTGGGAATTGGTCAGTGAGGTGGATAGGTAGGAGAGAAGATGGACAATGTGTAGGTTGTTGAGCAAGTGCAGTTTGGTGGCAGTGCTGATATTTTTCATTATTATGCTGATAATAGAAAATAGATTCGAGCAATAATTAACCCTTGTGGGATTTTACCTGTTTTTTTTTTGTGGACAGAATGTATCAGGACGATTTTCAGGTATTTCTGGTGGTGTAGCTGTGCTAGAACAGCCTGACTAGAGGTGTGACTAATTCTGGAACCCAAGGCTTCAGTGCAAATTTCTGGAATAGGGCCCAGTTTCTTCAGATTTTTCTTGATTTCAAATAGAGTAGATTAAATCAATTTGATCAAAGTATATCAGAATTTGAATGATCTTGGCAAGGTGAATGTGGAAAAGATGTTTCCTTGTGGGATGAATTGAGAACTAGGGGGACACTATTTAAAAAATTAAGGGTCATTTTTTTTAATTCAGGAAGTCAATGAGAAGAAATGTTTTGAGAATTGAATGACTTTGGAACTCCCTGCGTCACAAGGCAGTGGAGGCAAGACCAATGAATATTTTTAAGATGGCTGTAAATTCCCTTGGCGAAAGAATCTGAATACTGACAACAGATGAGAATGTAGAATTTGGAAACAAACTGATTAACTCTGTTATCGATTGGGGAATAGGCTCAAGAGGCCGAATGGCCTACTTCTCCTAATTTATATATTTGGGAAACTGGAAAGTAGAATGCCCAGAAAAGACTTGCTGATTGCAATATTTTTTCTGCAGATCATCCTGGCTTCCACTACAGCCCAGAGGATGAGAGAAAGGCAGACGCACGTGTGAAGGAAGACAGAATCGCAACTCGTAGAGTCCGAAGGAAGTCTGGTACAGTGGCCTCATCGCTTATAGCAGGATACAGCACAAAGTTGTAAAGGAATGATTCAGATTAGATATTCTCCAAGTTGTTGTGTGGGGGATTTATGCCACTTTCTTGCTGTTAGCTGGCAGTGATGTGCTTTCTAGTGATTTGGTTTTACAATTAAATGGACAATTTTTTAAGATTTGTAGCGTGGGTTGTGAATGAGGTTGCAGACGTGCTCACCAAGCTGGTGGGTTTGATTGCAGATGTTTTGTCTCCCTGCTGGGTAACATCAGTGCGCCTCCAGTGAAGCGTTGGTGTTCTGTCCCGCTTGTTATTTAGTTTCCTCTGTTTGCTGGGATGGTTGGCATCACTTCTGGTTTTGTTTTTCAGTGGTTTGTATTTCGGGTCTAGTTTGATATGTTTGTTGATGGAGTTCCAGTTGGAATACCAGATCTCCAGGAATTCCCTGGCATGCCTCTGTTTGGCTCATGCTATTATGGCTGTGTTGTCCCAGTTGAATTCATGTCCTTTGACTGTGTGTACTAAGACCAGTGAGAACTGGTCGTGTCTCTTACTGGCTAGTTGGTGTTTGTGTATCCTTTGTCAGTTTTCTTCCAGTTTGGCCTATTTAATATTTCTCACAGTGAGAAACCACTGAAAAGTGGAAGTGATGCCAACCACACCAGCAAACCAAGGCATACAAATAACAAGCAGGACAGAACCCCAACACTTGACCAGAGGTGCACTGACGATGTTACCCAGCACAGTGATGAAACGTCTGCAATCAAACACTGGCTTGATGAGCAAGTCTACAACCTCACTTAAATGGATAATTCAGAGGGTTGTTGGAATTGATCATGCAGTATAGAATTTCAAACAGTTAGGAGAAGGCAGCTCATCTTGTATGGCGTATGGTATATATTGAGGTTTTAAAGCAATCTGACCATTTATCAAGTCAGTCTACAAATAACACACAATTTGAGTTCAATATTGGCTATGGTGAGATTGAAGTTTATGGGGCTAAATTTTGGGAATTGGGAACTGGAAACAAACACACTTTTTGTATTTCCACCTCTGTCTTTTGGCTGTGAAGTATCTCTTCCTTAGAGTCAGAGATGGATTTGCTGTTTAATAGTTGAGAGTTAGGTGGGTTGAGTTGGGTGTTGAGAGGAGGAGATGGACAGGAATAGATGCTATTGGGCACTAGGGAATTGAGCAGTGTTCTGAAGCCAGCTGCACGGCTGTGGTCTCTGGGCATGGTACTCGGGTAAATATTTTCCTCTTCAAAGTGGACAGGGTAAATGGAGAGCTGGAATAGAGACAGAGATGATTTATTAAAATATTGCTGCTCAGTTGTTTTTGGTCCAAACTTACACTGCCCTGGTTAGACCCCATTTGGAGTATTTTGAGCAGATCTGGGCACCGCACCTTCAGAAGGACATTGGCCTCGGAGAGAGCCCAATGTGGGTTTACAAGAATGTTACCTGGACTTCAGGGGTTAGGTAATGAGGAAAGATTATGCACATTTAGGCCTGTTTTTGTCTAAATTTTAGTAGGTCGAGGGGTGATCTGATCTAAGTGTTCAAGATATTGAATGGAAATGACAAGGTGGGTGAAGAAACTATTTCCACTGGTTAGGGATTCTAGGACTGGGGGCATAGTCTGATAATTGGGGTCAGACCTTTCAGAAAAAATGTTAGGAAGAACTTCTACACACAAGGGGTAGAAGATGGCAGGAACTCTCTTCCATAAATGGCAATGGATGCCAGATCAATTGTTAATTTTAAATCTGAGGTAAATTTTTGTTAAGTAAAGGCATTAAAGGACATGAGCTAAAGGAAAATGTATGGAGTAAGGCCACAGATTAGGCATGATTTCATTGAATGTGGAACAGGTAACAAGAGGCTGAACAGCCTACTGCTTTTCCTATGTTCTCCATAGCTAAATTGTCTCAGTTTTACCTGCCAATTTACAGTTGGTCAGCTCATAACAGTCCTGAAATATCAGCAGGCTAGAATACAAGCTCTTGAATATCCCGATGTCCTTAACATGTTCAATTTAGCACTTTTTAGTCTGGTAAATCTCACTCTTCCTCACTTCACCTCCCTGCTTGTTATGCCATCCTCACCCACGCCACCGTCACCATGCAAAAAAAAAAACATCCTTGGGAAAGACGGCTGTATTGGGAATTGGAGGTATTGGACCAGCCATCACCATGCCTATTACCGTTTTGCTTCCATTGATTTTGATTTGGAACAGGAAAATCTGCCCCACATCCTCTGGATTTGCTAGCCAGTACCAGAAGACTACTAGCCTGTAATTTGACTTGCAAGAGCAGAGAACTAGTAATTGCCTTTCAGAAATGAAAGGGGTTACCACAGCTACCCTTGCATACTTCTGTGGCTGGTTAATAACAAGGGTTAAAGTCTAAGAATCCTCTGTTTATTCTTCAGCCTCCTTGGAGACTGGAAGAAATTATTTGGTTTTCTAATATTTTAGAGCACAGTTGTTGGGATGGGGTTCACATCGTTTCAGTAGAGATTTGGGAAGAATCTATACCTTAAATTCATTTAGCATACTGACCAATTTTCCACTTCCTGTGATAAATACCTTTGAGTCAGCATGGCAATTCTAAGTGTAGTGAAGTCAGGGCTGAAGGAGTATGCAAGCAGTGTTGAACTATCTAGATCAATTGGCTCATTCTTTGATGAGAAATAGAAGTCAAATGCACATTTTGATTTGCGTAAACTGATTCTCTCTTGTGAAACTTTACATAATTTTATTTAATGGCGTTTAGATTGAAATGGTAAGCACGTAACCAAAGTAAGAGTGTATTAACTTTGGGTTCCACTTGTCATTTGTAAACACACCAAACTTCTCATTTAAAATTTGAACATTCAAATGAACAGGCCAGTTAAATGCCAAACATTACAATTCACCCCTACATCTGCTAAGGCCATTTTGAACTGTCTAGAAATAAGAGGCAAAATGCCAAACAATGGCTAGTGTTCATTACCAGGTTAGGCCCACTTAAAAAAAAGAAATGAAGAAAGGATTGAAAAATTTGTATCAGATCCATTCAAGGCCTCCAACACATCCCATAGTCATAGTTGTAACACTTCACAGGAGACTGGTGAAAATCTACAACTGTTTTCCCTACAAGAGCTCGGGAGGGTCAATTAATATTTTACTAATATCAGAATGTTTTGGTCATGGGGCACTGGTGTGTCAAGGGACCTGGAATGAAGGTAAATTTTAAGTTGAAGCACAGATTGGCCTCTGTTTAATGGAATGGGAGGTAAAGCTTGAGGAACTGATCTACTCTGCACCATAACATATAGAAAGGCAGCAGCTAATTTGCATAATTGGCTAAAATTACTAGATAATCATTTATGATGTTGTTTGAAGCATAAATATTGAATAGCACAGGCTGTTTTATAACCACCTGAGAGGGCAAGGCTCAGTCCCCATTTCAGTTCTCTGCTTTGTTTAAAATAAAAAAGTATCTACAGCAGGGAAGCTGCTAAACACTGCACTAGATTGTGAAGTCTCTGGAGGGAGCCGGAAACCACAATCTCTAGCTCGAATTTGCTTGTGCTACCACTGAGTTGAATGGACTTCAGAGCTTAGAAATATATGGAGTCTAAAATTTGTGGCCCTTCACAATCCAGGCATTTGACAGCTTCAAACGCTATGTCTGCCTGGTCCAAAGCAGTCCAGAGCACTTGTCAAACCGTGGTGAGGTAGGGTTGTTCTGTTTCTGTCACCTAAGACCAGGCACATAGCAGATGTATGCAAAGACCTTAACCTACAAGTTGTATACCTTCATTGACCTGAACATTATAACTCATTACTAGCTCAAAATTGTGCCCTCTACTTAGCTTTGCAATTGTACTCTCACCATTATAGTTTAAGGCTTACCACTGTGACCTTGAACAGAATTCAGGATAGACAATGTCAGCTTTGTCAAAGATGTTGACTATCCCCAGAATGATTTTTAAGTTTTTCTGTTTAATGGAAATGTATAACCATTGCAAGCACACCTGGGTCAGAAAGAACTTTGTGTCTGACAGCAGATGCATACTTGTACTGATGCCATTCAACCTTGTATAAAAGAGTTGTCCTTCATTCTATATTTCTATGTTTTGCAGAACCATCAGCAAGATTGAAGTCTGCTAAACAAATGGGTCAGTGTCAAAATCTCTTCATTCAAGTTCTGAACAGAACATAACCCATAGTTTATTCAATTTTGTTTCTTGCTGTTGTGGTGTAATCTGTAACTCTTTCAGCTGTGCATGCTTAGAGCTAAAGATGCAGTTAACATGTTTCATGCCAGTTTTTCAACAATTTTATTTTCTTTTTGTTTTTTTGCCCTCTCCCTCATCCCCTTTTAGAAAGAAGACAAGACAAGGTAAGCATATCCTTGGAGTTTAGTGTTGTTTCTGCAGTGAGATGGGAGTATCTGAGTGTGGGCATGCACAGTCATGTGTTTTCACATGGTGAAGGAAATTTGATTTAAGCTGCTTGGTAAAATTGCCAGAAAGCTGTCTCTTTCAAAAAATCAAGTGGAGATTAAAAAGTGATGACTTCCATTACTGTAGCAAAGTTTATGTCTAGCTAACCCAAAACCCATTTAAGCCACTTAGAGTCAGCATTTTCAGAAATAGTGACGAGAATCTGAAGACGGATGGCTTCTCAGTTTAGAATCCCATTAGACATTCCCTTCTTGACTTGAATTGACTTGAATTATTTGCTTAAGTCTTTTGGAAGGGCACTCCAACTTTATTGACATTTCAAAATGTTTCACAGTCAGAGGTTGTGAAAGTTCTTCTTCTTTAGATGGCAAAGCTTAATAATCATGCATGTAAGAATCTTCTTGACCGTGTACATTATATGTAGTGTAGAATGTTTCATCAGTTATCCTACCATGATCAGAGGACAGTGCCAAAATTTTGGGGGAAGGGGAGTTTTGGTCTTGAAACAAAGATACTGGCCTAGGGAAGATTTTTTTCAGGTTTATTTTGTGTCTTAGTCAATTTAAGATGAGAATACAGATTTAAGCTTCTTGGCAAAACAGCTAGAGAGTGATGAGAGTTTTTAAAATCGGTGTTATCTGCAGTGCACTACTTGAAAGTCTGGTGGAACCTTATTAAATAGTAGATTTCAAAAGAAATTGGCTAAATGCTTGAAATTTAGGTTTTTAGGGCAAAAAGAAAGCAAAGTGGCAACAATCAGCTAGTTCTTTCGAAGTACAAATGCCATAGGTGAAAAGGCAAGGGGTGAGGATGACTCCAAGTCGTACAGGTTAAGTCACCAAAAACTTGGAAGATGGAATATAATGTGGGAAAAAGTGAAGTTATGTACTTTGGCTGGGAGAATAAAGGAACTGAATATTATTTAAACGGAGAAAGACTGAAGAGGGATTTTGGAGTCCTTGTGCCTAAATCACAAATTCATGGGTAATAGGGAATTTTGGCCTTCCATTCAAAGGGAATAGAGTATAAAAGTAGGGAGGTCCTGCTAAAACTGTACAAGGCATTATAGTTTGACCTCAGCTGGATACTGTGCATGATTTTGGTCACCTTGTCTAAGGAAAGATATAGTGACATTGGAGGCAGCCTAGAGAAGGTTGGCGAGTGCTGATCCCAAGCTTGGAGACAGTCTTATTGAGGAGTGGTTGAGTAGGTTGGGCATGTACTCATTGGAGTTCAGATTAATGAAAGATGATACTGTTGAATTGCAAGATTCCTGGTGAACTTGCCAGGGTAGATACAGAAAGGTTGTTTTGCCTTGTGTGAGAGAGTCTAGGTTCAGAAGGCATAATCTCAGAATAAAGAGCCATCCCTTAAGACACAGGAGGAAGAAATTCTTGTTTTAGGGTTGTGAATCTGTGAATTCTTTATCACCTGAGGACTGTAAATGTTCGGTTAAGTAAATTAAAGATGGATATAGATGGATGTTAATCAGGAAGGAATCCACGGTCACAAGTATAAGGCAGGAAAATTGGATTTGAGGATTATCAAATTAGTCATGATCTCATTGAATGGTGGACTAGACATGATGGACTGAAAGGAGCAGAAGTAAGCCAATGTCATATAGCCTAAACATGTTAAGTGAGTGGGCAGCAAGGGGGAACTGATGGACTATAATGTGGAGAAGTGTAACTGATCGCAAGAATAGAAAAATAAAATCAATATACAAAATTTTATGCCTCTAAATTTGAGAGATTTAGATGTACTTAATCACAAAGATCACAACATTGACATGCAAGGACAGCAAGTAATTAATAAGGCAACTGTCATGTTGGCATATATTGTAAGGGAATTCAAGTATAACAATAATGGAGCCTTGCTACAACAGTGTAGGACTTAGGTGAAACTGCATCTTTTGTTCGGTTTTGGTTCCTGATTCTTGGAAGAATAAGAGGTAATCTCATTGCCTTCAAAATTATGAAGGGTAGATGGTGAGATCTTGTTTTCCTCTAACAAGGTAATCTATAACAAGGGGGCATATGTTCAGTATAATAGACAAATCATTCATGACCGAAATGAGAAATTTCCAGAGAGTGTTCTGAATCTATGGAAATCATTACCCTGCAGGGTTATGGTTTCTCCATCATTGAGTATATTCAAGGTTTAGGCAGTACTTTTGTGGTTTCATAGAACTGAGACATGTAAGCAAGTGGGAAAGTGGAGTTGAAGATCAACCAAGCCCATTAAATGGGCAACTCAAGCTTAAGGAGCCATAATGTTTGTTGCTCCCATTTCTTGTGTTTTCCTTTCTCTGTTAAGTATGATAACCTTGGATTCCCCTTTGTAAATATAAATTAAACATTTTTGTTATTCAGTTTTCTACAATCTCACACATTTTATGGAATAATTTCTTGTTTAGAATAAAGGAGATAGAATCCACTTTCTGTCTTTGTGTGTGTGTGTGTGTGTGTGTGTGTGTGTGTGTGTGTGTATATACTTACAAAGTACTTTACAGTGAAAATTTGTGAACAGTCAGTGATGAATATTTCCTCTCCTCACAGCGTGCCAGTATTGAAGGGTCCCTCCTTTCTCCATCAGTGGAAGTATTGTCTAGTAAAGGGTCTTCCGGTTCCAAATGTGAAATCAGTGCACTTGGTCATGGTGACACAGTCAACCGATCACAGGAGTCCTTGGTGCCAGCTTATCCAAGTGACCATGAGGATAGTGTCCAGCTACGCACCTTGGAGCAGACTGATGCTGATGATGAAGAAGAAGTTGACATTGATCAGGTTGAAGATGGTGCTAATTTTGCTACAATTCAGATGCATACCCTTGATGTCTCTGATCTTTTGATCCTTCCCTGAAACTTACTCTGTGGGTGCTTTTGCTCTCTGTAGCTCTATTACACTAAGTGCATTAAACTCTTGTTCCAAGTTAAAAATTATTGGCAACAGCCAGTGACAGACCAAGGGAACAGTGGCTGGTTCAAGCTCCAATCTCGGACATGAGTGTGCAATCTACACTGACAATTCTGGGGCAGTATGAGGGAATGCTGCATTATTGGAAGTGTCAATCAGGTTAGATTCTATTTTAAATAGAGCAGGTTAGTCTCCCTCTTCAGTTGACTATAAAATATTTTATTTGAAGGGCAGTGCAGTGCTTTGTGTCCTGGTCAGTATTTTAATCTTCACCCAGCACCAGTTGAAAACCAGTCACCTATGTAATGAGAGACAAAAAGGTGCAGGGCTGGATGAACACAGCAGGCCAAGCAGCATCATAGGAGCAGAGAGGCTGACGTTTCGGGCCTAGACCCCTCATCAGAAAAGGGGGAGGGGAAGGGGGTTCTGAAATAAATAGGGAGAGAGTGGGAGGCGGATAGAAGAGGGATAGAGGAGAGGATAGGTGGAGAGGAAACAAACAGGTCGGAGAGGCGGGGATGGAGCCAGTAAAGGTGAGTTGCAGGAACAGCAACTCGTATTCCGCTTGAGAACCCTGCAGCCCAATGGTATCAATGTGGATTTCACAAGTTTCAAAATCTCCCCTCCCCCTACCGCATCCCAAAACCAGTCCAGCTCGTCCCTGCCTCCCTAACCTGTTCTTCCTCCCACCTATCCCCTCCTCCCACCTCAAGCTGCACCTCCATCTCCTACCGACCAACCTCATCCCGCCCCCTTGACCTGTCCGTCCTCCCTGGACTGACCTATCCCCTTCCTAACTCCCTACCTACACTCACCTTTTACTGGCTCCATCCCCGCCTCTTCGACCTGTTTGTTTCCTCTCCTCTATCCATCTTCTATCCGCCTCCCACTCTCTCCCTATTTATTTCAGAACCCCCTTCCCCTCCCCCTTTTCTGATGAAGGGTCTAGGCCCGAAACGTCAGCCTCTCTGCTCCTATGATGCTGCTTGGCCTGCTGTGTTCATCCAGCCCTGCACCTTGTTGTCTCGGATTCTCCAGCATCTGCAGTTCCTACTACCTATGTAATGAGGTTTACGTTTGAATGGGTTGCCATGTTTTTGTTACCTTTTAAAAGGCATTAATTGGTCGTAAATACTGTCGATCATCCTGAAGTTGTGATCATTTGTAGAGTCATATAACATAGAAACAGACCCTTCAGTCCACCTTGTCCATGCCAACCAAATTTCCCAAACTAAATGTCCCATTTGCCTGCATTTGGCCCACATCCCTTTAAACCTTTTCCATTTGTGTACCTGTCCAAAAGTCTTTTAATTGTTGTAATTGTACCTGTACCTACCACTTTGCCTTCTGGCTCATTCCACATACAAACTACCCTCTGAAAAAAGTTATACCTCAGGTCCCTTTTTTTAAATCTTTCTCCTTGCACCTTAAAAATATGCCTTCTACTTTTGGACTCCCCTACTCTAGAGAAAGGATCTTTTGTTATTCACCTTATCATGATCTTATAAACCTCCATAAAGTCACCCCTGAGTCTCCTACACTCCAGTGAAGAAAATCCTAGTCTATCCAGTCTGTTCTTATAACTCTCATGCTCCAGTCTGGGCAACATCCTTGTAAATCTTTTCTAAATCCTCTCCAATTTAGTATTCTAATAGCAGGGCCACCAGAACTGTACACAGTACTCCAGAAGAGGCCTCACCAACGTCCTGTACAATCTCAACATGACACCCCAACTCCTATATATAGTAGTCTGAGCAATGAAGGTAGACATGCTAAATGCTACCTTTCTCACCTTGTCTACCTGTGACACAACTTTCAAAGAACTGTGTACGTGAACCCCTGGGTGTCTCTGTTTGACAAAACTACCCAGGCCTCTACCATTAACTGGAAGTCCTGCTCTTGTTGTTCTTGCCAAAATGCAACACCTTTCACTTATCCAAATTAAACTCCTCAGCCCATTGACCCAAACGATCATGAATCCTTTGCAATCTTGGATAACTTTCAATGTCCACTGTAGCACCAATTTTGGTGTCGTCTGCAAATTTACTAACTATGCTTCCTATAATTCTCATCTAAATCATTTATCTTAATGACAAGAAAAGTGGACCCAGTACCAATTCCTGTGGAACACTGCTGATCACAGGACTCCAGTCCAAAAGGCAACCCTCCACCACCACTCTGTCTCCTACCATAAAGCCAAATTTATATCCAGTTGGATATCTCTCCCTGAATCCCATGTGACCTAACTTTACTAACCAGCCTACTGTGCTGAACCTTGTCAAAGGCTTTACTAAAGTCCATGTAGACAATGTCTACCACTCTGCTCTCATCTTTTGATCATGTCCTCAAAAAACTCAATCATGTCAGTGAGACACTGTGTCTCCCAGGCACAAAGCCATGCTGACTAGCCTTAGTCAGTTCTTGTCTCTTCAAATGCATGTAAATTCTATTGCTCAGAATCCCCTCCAACAACTTGCCCATAGTTGATATCAGACTCACCGGTCTATAGTTCCCAGGCTTCTCCTTACAGCCTGCTTTAAATATAGACACAACATTAGCATTTGACTACAAAGGCAAGCTTTTTCTGATTTGCAGCATTGCACGAATGTGTGGTGATACCCCAAGGAGCTATACCAAACAAACTTGAAAGCGAGATCCCAGCAGACATCTAGACAGATGACCAGAAATTTAGTCAGGTGTATGTTTTAAAGAGTAACTTAGAGCATGGGAGAGGTTGGAGAGGGAATTCCACACTTGACATTCAAGTGAGTGAAAACAGCACTGAGACAGTGAAAATCAGAATTAATGACTAAAGGGTTCTAGAGCTGGAAGAGTTAGAGATTGGCAAGGACAATTCCATGGAGGAATATGAAAACCAGGATGATGGGTTTAAAATTGAGCCTTGCCCTATTTTCTTTATCCTCTGGTTTGAAACATCAATTAGCATTTAAAA